GTTGGAGGGGAACACGCCTGCCAGTAGAAGCCTTTATCCGTGTTTACCAGGTGCCAGGCGGCATGCCCACACAGACTCCCAGGAGTAGCAGGGCCAGATGTCACCTTTTAAGTTCCACCCGAAAGAAGCAGAAGCTGCTGAGAGATGGAGAGTGAAAGCAGATAGTAAGAGGAAGGGACCACATATGTAATAACTTAATCGATAAAAAAAATACTATAAAAATAAATAAGTAAGTAAGTAAGTTAATAAATAAATAAATAAATAAATAAATAAATAGGAAGGGACCGTGTCCCGTCCACTCCAGGCCTGGCCAGCGTCCAGCTGCCAGCCATTGAACACAGGGCCTTCCTTGCTTGCATGAGGACAAGTGTCTGAGGTTGGAGTGGTAATCACAGTCCTCATTATTAGGGGTTTACTCACAGGCTCAGTGCAAAGCACTTCACATGCATTCTGCCAGGCAGCCCTCCAATAGCTCTGAGGGTCACTGTCAGGACCCCATCTCTCAATCATGTAAACAAGTTAAGTGACATCCAAGCTCACCCTGGGAGAGGCAGTTGCTGAACTTGAACCCTGGTGACCTGACCTCTGCTATGGGTTCTGCAAGTCTGCTGGCTGTGTCCTGGGAATTCATCTACGCACCAGTACAGCTCGCCCAGTCTTTTAATTGGCTTCTCCATTCTCTGATTTAGTGGTCAAGCACACGGGCTCTGGGGCTAGACCACGTAGGTCCAAATCCTAGCTGTGCTGTTAGCCACCGGCCCACCATCTGGGCTGGTTTTCCTCTGTAAAAAGAGGGCACTGTATTGATATCTGGCATCACTGAGGGCCTTCAGAAATGCAGACCGACCTGGAGTCAGAACCTGCATTTCAGCAAGACCACCAGGTTTATCTGTACATTTGAAGTCATATACACTAGAAAATAGTGCACTGCGATGAATTATTTTTTAAGATAAGTAAGAGTCTCAGATGAGTTGGTTTCACACCACACACTATCACAGGTCTAGTTCAACTTCGCACGTGCACTTGTAGAGCTGAGGTGTTCCTCAGATGGACACAGCCACATGAAACCAAAGGATTCCTGTGTTGAAAGACAAGGAAATGAAGCTAAATTGTTGCTGTTAGGACTCATGTCAATGAGGTAAGGTTAGCAGGACAGTTCCTGTACTCCATGAGGGCTGGGCAGGAAGCATCATTAAGTAAAATAAAATCTGTTGGCATCTGTTCCCACCAAGATTTCATGCCTAATTAGGTCAAACCCAGGAAGCCGAATCCTGCACTGGGGAGAGAAGTGGTAAGCATCTAGGTCAGTGGTCGGCAAACCGCGGCTTGCGAGCCACATGCGGCTCTTTGGCCCCTTGAGTGTGGCTCTTCCACAAAATACCACGTGTAGGCGCGCACGTACAGTGCGAAGTTGACTTAAAACTTTAAGTAAGATCATGTGGTATTTTTCCTTCATTGACTGGCTTGTTTCACTTAGCATAATGCTCTCCAGTTCCATCCATGCTTTTGCAAATGGTAAGAGACCATTACAAACTTTTGAACAATAATAGATACAGAGGCAGAGCTGCCTCAAACTGATTGTCAAACTGCAGTGGGAAGGCCAGGGAGGGTTGGGGGGCAGGAGGGAGGGGAGTAAGAGATCAACCGAAGGACTTGTATGCATGCATATAAGCATAACTAATGGACATAAGACACTGGGGGGTGAGGGAGGGCAGGGGATTGTCAAGGGCGGGGGGAAAAAAGGACACATATGTAATACCCTTTGTAATACTTTTAGCAAAAAAAACGAATAAAAATTTAAAAAAATAAAAATTTAAAAAAAGTATTATTACGAACTATTTAAAATGCACTTTATTTTTACTGTTCCATCTCTCCTGTGAGCTTTTATAACACAGGATTTTTAATAATACACGATGTTGATTTGTGTTGTATCCATTGTTTGGATGGGAGAGTTGGAAGGGGTCGACCTCAGCGAATGTACCTCAATCAGATTGAGGATGTTTTTAGCAAAGGCCAGCTTAGGAGTACCCTAATTAAGTTAATAACAATGTACCTACCTATATAGTTTAAGTTTAAAAATTTGGCTCTCAGAAGAAATTTCAATTGTTGTACTGTTGATATTTGGCTCTGTTGACTAATGAGTTTGCCAAACACTGATCTAGGTAATCTCAGAAGCTACCACACGGGGGAGCTCTTGGTAACCTGAGAGATACCTATCAGTGGGTCCTGCAGGCTCAGAAATTGGGAGAGCATCACTCTTTTGCCTTTTATGAAGAAAAACTGTTGAGGAAAAAAATGTCCAACTCTATACCTCACACTGAAGAGAAAGGACAAAATCAATTATACTCATTCTGACACCTGGAAGAAAAATTCACCTTAGAAGGAAGCCATATTCCATGTAAGGATGAGGGGTACAGACAGAATGTGCGCACTTTCCTCCAATTACTGGTAAGAGGGTATTATTTGAGAGGCAATGAGAGGGTCTTTCTGTCCCCAGCACATTTACTGAGCCCTGAAATTCCACCATTAGAGAGTTATTCCTTTGAGTTGAGTCAGTAGTTCTCGACGAGGGACAATTCTCCCCCTGGCCCCATGTTGAAGTGGGTTGCTAGGTCCCACTCTCAGAGTCTGATTCAGTAGGAACCAGAGGACGCATGAGAGTGGCTCACAGTCACAGGACACTCTCTAAATTCCCACGGCCTCCGAGAAAGCAGAGAGAAAGGCTCAGGGGTACCAGCACCGCCCAGCTAGGACACACCAGCCTAGGTGAACGTGCCAACCGGGCCCTGCTCCCTCTGCCCCCACCTCACCATCTGTGGTCCCCACGTCCTCCGAACAGGCCTGGCTTTGTCGCTCCACCTCCCACCTCTCCCAACCTGCTCCGTGTACAGTCCAGCCCTCCCCACTCGCCTCTCTGCACAGCCTACAGCCTGATCCCGCCTCCTGAGGTGGTGTTGTGCTCAGAAAAGCCCTTCCAGGGCTCTGGCCAGGCCAGCTGCAGCTGGCCCTGCATCCTGTGCTCAGGGCTCCATCTTCCCCACCCACCTCAAGAGCTTGGGCGACAGTTCACTTCTTTCCATCCTGATGCACCACCATGTGCAAGTCCTAACCGGTTCTCACTTCATGTCTACAACTTCTCCTACACTGTCCCTTCCCATACACCTCTCCCCTGCCAAGGAGCTATCCCGCTAAACACGTAGGCAATTGCTCTCAACTCTCATGCAACAGAGTAAATGATAGGACTGGATTGTAACCTGTTCTTTCCAGCCACACTGGCCATGTGCACTCACAGGCCCTCCTCCCTGGGCCCCCATACAAGTAGGCGCCGGGGAACTGAGATTTGCTGCCTCTGACTCCCGAGCAGCCGTCTCAGCCCCTCCCAGGCAGAGTCCCTGCAGCTCTGCTCCCTCCCTAATGGCCAAGGTATGAGAAAGGCTGTAAATACGAAGTCATCATCATTATTGGTTTGTCTCTCCAACTATGCAGGGGAAGGGAAAACACACACACACAGGTCATTGATAATAAGAACTGCATTGATCAAGGGAAGATAAGAAAGAGAAAACATGGCCGGCTGCAAGGAACTCACGTCTGATTGGTCAGCACAAGCCCAGGTCTAACCCTTGCTGAAAATTAGCACATTTCATTATACATTTACCATATTGCCATTCCAAAATGGGAAAGATGATACAGGTAAAGAAATATAAAACTGAGCAAATTATACCAATACTGCTACCTGTTTGAGTAATTGGGATCAGGACTGTCCCAGAACACCCCCCTCCAATCCCCATAAATGGTTGCAGTCATCCTAACCCACCCTTGAGATTGGAAACCCATGAAAAGGAGGGACTACCCCACCCACAGGCCACCACAGGGACACTGCATAGGCATCCGCCACAGCCTGACCTCTGTTTCCCTCCTCCCTGGCCCTTCCTCGGCTCCCCTCCTGGGACCAGCTGCCCATGCATGTGGCCTCCGGCCCTGCCACCTGTCCAAGCAGATGCAATTTCCTCCTCCCGCCTGGCCCCACCCATCCTCCCGCAGTGGGGAATTCCTTCTGCAGGTTTCCTGCGGGGCCGTCCATTTCAAAATGTTTAACTGGGAGGAAAAGAAAGGAAGGGCTTCATTATCTCTAAGCCACCACCTTCAGGAACACACCTCCCTGCACCTGCGATCCCAGGAGCCAGAGCAAAGGCCAGTGTCCTTGGATGACCTGCTCACTGAGTGGCTCCTTCCCATGGACAGTGGGGTCAGTGTTTGAATCGGAGTCCCCACCCTCCTGCTCCTCACCCCCATGGTGCTGCACTTCGCCCTCTTTCCAAATGTTAAATTCAATCTTGAAATGGAGAGCCGGGGGTGGGGGTGGGGGTGGGGGAGTGGTTAAATAAACCCCTTTGCAGATTAAGATGTACAACTTGCCAGTTAAAGAAAGTCATGGGGCTGTAAGGGACAGCCTGGGAATAGAGTCAATAGCATTGTGATAACTGTGTATGGTGCCAGGTGGGTTCTTGACTTATCGGGGTGATCACTTCTTAACTTACGTATATGTCCAATCACTATGGTGTACACCTGAAACTAATATAATATTGTATACCAACTGATATTGCAAAAAATAAAATAAATAACCCCTTTGCTGGGACAAAAGGAGGGGATGGGAACTAAGGCTCATGACAGGCCTCGCCATGCTTGCGAAGCGTCATCCCAGCAGCCCCGTGAGAGGAAACCACTGTCGACTGCTGCCCCGCAGGGCAGAAGCAGCGAGGGGACACAGCACACACAGGCTGGAACTGCCCAGCCTGTCCCTAACTTCCCAAGCACCTGGGCCAGCACCTGCAAAGGCAGAGCCAAGCGGGGTCCTAGAGAAAAGCCCACCAGGTTCCCATTTTGCCAGGGACAAGTACCCAAGTGGATCACGAAGTTGAGTGAAAGGGAAAATGGTGAGCAGTTGCCGGGACCGGGGTCGCAGGACCTCAGACACGTTTTCTCATCCACATATTGCTGCTGCTTCTTACCCAAGGCTTTTTATTGAGAATGAACATTCATGGAACTGGCAACAGTGCCACCTGCCGTTCAGAACGGGTTCGAATCTGTAAAAAGAAAGCAGAAAAAGGGAGTACTCCATAAATGCTGAATCACCTGCTGCTATCTTTCTATTTGTTGTTTTGGGGTTTCCAATATTAGGGAAGCTCTTGTTCTAGTTAATAACATAATTTTACTGGTAGTTATTACAACATTCTTAAAGCAGTTTTCAGAGAGTGTAATATAGCCAAAGCATAATACTTAAACAGAATTAAACTCTCCTCGTACTGTAAATTGACCCTTCCTCTCTCTATAAGGGTGTAGACCCTCAGTAAACATAGTTCATATGTCTAATAGTAGGGCATTGTTGTGAGTTGAGTTGTGTCCTCCAAAAAGATGTTGAAGTCCTAGCCCCCAGTACCCATGACTGTGACTTTAATGGGAAATAGGGTCTTCACAGATGATCAAGTCAGTATGAGGTTGTAGGGTGGACCCTAACCCAATGGGACTGGTGTCCTGTAACCAGGGGAAATCTGGACACGGAGGCAGACACGTGCACAGGGGGGATAGAATAGAATAGAATAGAATAGAATAGAATAGAAGGCATGGGTCAGGGTAGTATGTTACAAGCCAAGAAAGGCCCAGGATGGCCAGCAAATGACGAGAAGCAAGGAGGGAGGCATGGAACAGATCGTTTTCCAAGAAGAAACCAACCCTGCTGCCTCCTACCTCCCTTCCTCCCGCCCCAGAACTGGGAGACAATAGCTTTCTGTTGTCCTCAGCCATCCAGTTTGTGGGACTTTGTGGTGGCAGCCCTAGCAAACTAATACAGGCATCAATTACAATGGGAAGAGTCTGCTTATATTGCAGCCTCCACGGGATAGAAGCATTTGTGATACAACCAAAGAGCACTAACCAGCTGTGTGCATGTAAAGTTCAACGATGCCCAGCAACTTACCCCATTGCCTTGTCTATGAAATGAAACTCCACTCTCCTCAGCGTTGATATGCGTCTGTGATGAGCACAGGCATGGAAACATGGCCTATGAATTGGAAAGAGTGACAGTTATACAGTCTTATCACAAGGAATGTGATATCATCAGACCCAGGCATGGACAGACCCTGCTCAGACAAGGTCACTTATGTGCCCCCGCAACCACCTTCCTATATGCCTTGGGAGGCTGACCAGTAGGAAATGCATCAATGGCCCCTATCTCTCTCTTTTGTAAAATATGTTTTTACTGATTTCAGAGAAGAATGGAGTGGAAAAGAGAGATTGAAACATCAGTGATGAGAGAGAATCATTGGTCGGCTGCCTCCTGCATGACCCCTACTGGGGATCGAGGCCACAACCTGGGCATGTGCCCTGACCGGAAATCTAACCATGACTTCCTGCTTCATAGGTCGATGCTCAACCGCTGAGCACACTGGCCGGGCTGGCCCCTTTCTCTTTTGCTATCAGTTGGGAATAGCCAAGGGGGGCACCAGCAGGAGATCAGAGGGCAGGAGAAGAGACTGTTGGGTCATGAGGAGCTGCCTGCATCTATAGAAGCCTTCAGCTACCCTCTCAGAATTCCAGCAGTTCTGGCCTCCCATTGTCCCTTCAGGTCCAGGATGTAACAGCACCATGCAAGGGCTAACTCTGCCTACACCCTGGTAAACAATTCCCTCAGTAAACTCTCCTCACAGTCTCCAGTTTAAGTATGTCTTCTTTGGCCTGCAAGGAGCCCGACTCAGCAGTTAGTTTAGAAAGTGGTCCTAGAAAACGGCCTCAAGATGCAATTGTGGGAATGCTCTGCTTGTGTATTTGAGGACTCCAAGGATAGGGTCCTGTGCTGAGGGAAACAGGACACAGGAAATTCATGCCCTGCAGGACTGTCATGATTACCTGAGTCATTCACCAGTGCTCCCAGGGGCTGGGGTACAGGTGAGCGCGAAACATCGGGAAGGCAAGCGATTGTGGTCCTGACCACAGGAAAGACAGTGATTGTGGCAGAGCAGCAACACAAAGGCATGGGAATACTGTCCCAGCATAAAAAGGAAAGCGATCCTGCCATTTGTAACAACATAGGTGGACTTCAAGTGAATTACGCTCTGTGAAATATGTCAAGCAAAGATACTATAGGATATCACTTACATGTGGAATTGAAAAAGAAATGAACTCACAGAAACAAATCAGATTTGTGGTTGCCATGGAGTGGGGAGGAGAACTGAGTGAAGATGGTGAAAAGGTACAGTCTGAGGACTTCATACCCAGCACGGTGACTGTGGTTAACAATATTGTGTTGTATATTTGAAAGTTGCTAAGAGAGATCTCTAAAGTTTTTATCACAAGGAAAAAAATCGTAAACTATGCGAGGTGATGGATGATAACTTATGTAGCAATCATTTCACATATCAAACCATTAAATTGTACACCTTAAATATAAATAATATATCAATTATAACTCAGTAAAACTGGAGAGAGTAGACAATACAGTCAACTCAAACAACACTGGTTTGAAGTGGTTCCACTTATATGCAATATTTTTCAATAAATAGTACAGTACTACAAATGTGTTTCCTCTTATGATTTTCTTAACATTTTCTTTTCTCTAGCTTACTTTATTGTAAGAATACAGTATATAATATGTGTAACATACAAAATATGTGCTAATCAATGGCTTCTAGTCAACAGTAGGCTATCAGCCAGTTAAGTTTTGGGGGAATCAAAAATTCTACTTACATTTTCACCTATCAGGGGTTGGGAGCTGGCACCCCGAACACTGGCATTGTTCGGAGTGGACTGTAAGTTGCAGTTCCTCCCATCAAGAGGTAGAGTACTCTTCTACCCTGATTCTGGCCTCAGCCATCCATTTCTTAGGCCATTGGGATATTAACAAATGTGACAAACAGAGCTGCGGACATTTGGGGTTTGCCTTCGCTTGCTGCTTTTGGCAGCCCTTGGGGCTCCATATGATGACACCTGGGCCAACCTCCTGGGGGATGAGACCACAAGAAGCGAGGCCCCGGCCCCTCCAAGCATCCCCATCATCCCAGCTAAAGCCCGGACGTGGCATTCTAGATCATCCAAGGCTTGTCAAACTGCTCAGGCCTGACCAGAGTGACCAGATGACCCACAGAACTGTGAGCCAAGAAAATGACTTTTCTTGAGCCAGTCTGTTCCGGGTGATTCACAACACTTCAAAGATTACCTGAAATAGGAAGTCCCCTGGCCATTTTCGAAGGCACAATGGAATGGTTGAGTTAAAAGAGAAGTATGTGATACTCACTTAAAAACTGTTGATTTTATTGATAAGGACTTTAAAATGCAAGCCAAAGTCACGCTTCTGAAAATATGGACTTTAAATTTTATTGACTCAGTACTAAATTTAGATGCTGTATTAAGTAAAATTAGTGATACAAGACAAATGATGTTCTTGAAAGCATCAAAGCAATTAAAAAACTCTTTGAAGAAAACCAGTAATTATGTTTACCTAAGATCTGTTATTGATGCTAAGCAAATTGCAGAGTCTCTTGATTTTGACACCAACTTCTCCATTATTAAAACAATAAACAGAGAAAGATCTTCACTTGAAAATCTTATGATTAGGCCTTCCATGACCCAAAACTCAATTTTAGGATCAATTTCCTTTTTTACATTACATATAGTAATTTCATTGTTAAAAGAAGGTTTAGCCCAGCCGGCGTGGCTCAGTGGTTGGTCACAGGTTGATTCCCACTCAGGGCATATGCCCTGGGTTGCAGGCTCACTCCTCAGTGTGGGGTGTTCAGGAGGCAGCTGATCAATGGTTCTGTGTTTCTATTCTCTCTCCCTCTCCCTTGCTCTCTGAAATCAGTAAAAATATATATTTTTTTAAAAGACAGGTTTACAATAATGAAAGGATATCACAGATATCCCAGTTTTCTGGATAATGTATAATTAGAAAAATTAAGATAGAGATAAGCTACTTTAATTATACAGTATACCACTACTTTTGAATGTCAAACTTGTTATTGAAATTAACTTATAAAACTGAAATTAACTTATTACTTGTGAGATCTGATATTGATGAGTCGCCATGCATGAGAGACTGAAAACTTTAAATTACTGTCTAAATTCTAATATGCATCTATTTTAGGCATTACAGTATATTCACAGAAATTTCCTAATACTTTTGTAACTTTCAGGCTATAGTTAACTTGGACAGTGGGGAATATAGTCCATGAGGAATATAACCTCTTAAAATTACATTTTATTAAAAAACTACCAAAGTTAATACTATATCTGAGATTATAATATCACAGAAAGACTGTCAAATAGAACCATTATCTCTATAGAAAGTGAGCTATTGGAGCAAGTAATCATTGAAATGGCCAAGAAAACCAGTGATTATGTTTATCCAAGATCTGTTATTGATGCTAAACAAATTGTGAAAGCAACCACGTATATTCAAACAAAGTATTACATAATAGTGATATTGAATTCCTAATTATTCTGATGAAAATTGTAGGCTTTCTATTAATGGATTATCAATAATTTGATTTAATTTATGCAGAACTAATATAAACTTTTTGGTATATTGTAATATTATTGAAATAATTTGTATTGTAAAAATTAAAAATATGCTCATTTAAAACATGATTTTAATTGAGTAAAGGCATATTTTTCTAATCTAGACAAAGGCACTAATTAAGGCTACCAGTATTCTAAAACTCACCCAGTCTAACCAAGACATAGGTCCTTACACCAGAGTGTCTTTCTTGACACCACGTATGAGAAGGATGGATCATTCTCTACCTCTACTGCACCCCAGCTTCCTCAGGGATCCAATTTCATGTGGTCTGTGAACTCCCTTAAGGTGGTTCCAAAGTCTGGATGCATATGCATTTGAACCCTTTTCCCCAGGGCACTGTCCATGCCTCTAAAAGATCAAGGACCATGTATTTCAGGCTGCAGCGGTGGTTCTCACATTTTAGCACCTGTTACAATTACCTGGAGGGCTTATTAAATCAGATTACTGGACACACCCTCAGAGTTTCTAATTCAGCAGATCTGGAGTAGGGCTCAAGGATGTGCATTTTCAACAAGTACTCTGGGGATGCTGTTGCTGCTGTTTTAGAAACTACATTTGAGAACCAAATGGGCTGAACTCTGTGTAAACAGCTCCAGTCTTTACCAGCAGAGGGCAAGCCCCCATGTCGCCCAATGGGTGTCAATAGCACATTTCACCACTAGGTGACAGCACCTACACACAAATCTCTACATTCAGGTCTCCCATAAATTAAAAACAATCACAAAAGCAAGATAAGAAAGCCAAGTGAACAACGTTCTTCTACAAGGTGGCTGATAACCCAATGCTGACAAATGATTAAAATGTTTATCTCTTAAGAATATATACCCATCTAAGTCAGGCTTGAGGGAGGAGCAAAATACACCACCTGGCAGAAAAAGAAGCTGGATGCTGTGTTGCCTCTGGCTCCTGGCCTGACGCCCCTCGATGGGATTTCATACTTCCCTGTCTGCTAACTTGGAAATGTCCCACTGTGGAAAGTCCTGGGCTGGATGCTGCAAAATTACCCAAGGAGCTCATTAACATGCAGAGCCCAATCT